ACCTCCAGAAACACGTAGTAATGAGCCACAGGTGTACACGACGCTCCACTCAGCCAACACAAACAAAAACAGATGCACTCTACAGAGGGCCTCAAAGACCCTGAACCACGAAAAATTGACACGCACTAAAGAAGCCCTGACACCGTGGCCCAGGCAAGGTGACGACACACACTCGACCATAGTAATGCGGGGGAGGGGCGACTTACCTTCACATCTTGTTATGAGAATCTATCAACTCATCTCATTATAATCTGTCAACAGCTGGGCCCTTGAGAAATCCAGCACACACACACACACACACACCTGGATACCCTATTCCAGTGTGTGTGTGTGTTTGTGTGTCAGAAGGTTAAAGAAAAGAGCGAGGAATAAACGGGGTAGAAAGTGACAACAATAAAATCAGTAATTAATGAGAAGCACCGCACCTGGAATAAACACACACCTGGTAGGAGACTGTGGCACTATTACAACAGCAATTATTAGTCGGAGGGGGAGAGGAGAAAAGTAAACACAAGGTTGAGAGTGCCATCATTAAGGTCAGCAATTACCGAAAAGAACTACGAACTGAACACAATGTACAAAGTGAGGACTGAGGTGTTGAACAATGACCTGTGATAGGGGACCCTTGTTACTTAAAGGGAACCACATCGTATAGACAATCATCTACTTCCCTAACTAACATCACTATCAGGGTTGACTTGATGACTTAAACGAACCAGGTAGAGTTCATACCCCGAGTACCAAACCCACACATGATACCAATAACGAGTGAGTGTACGTCTAGGAGGAAGGCTTGGGTGTAAGTATGACCGCGGACCAACAAGGAATGTCGAAGCAGATGATAAACACAGACAATAATATTCCTCTGAGTGCCACCTTGTATGCAGCTGCAGTGTACTTTGGCACCCATAGAGCAGCCAAGAAGTGTCGAGGAGGTGCCAGTGAGTGCCAACCTTACACAGGGGAGAGAGTTATAATATGGAAGATGGAGTTGAGTTATTTGAGGAGTACTTGACCTGAGCAGAACCTCCCGCCTGTACTGCAACTCCTTACCTTTTAAGCAGCGCCTTGAAAGTTTTTTTTTTTGCTTGAATTATTTAGCTTCATAAATATAATTGTGAGAGAGTTTACTTGTCGCTCCCTAACTGGATTACCTTCGCCTGTACACAACCCACGGAATCAATTTGGTTCCTTTACTTTTATAATGGCGAAAAAACAATACTTTAAGTCTAATTTCTATACCGATAAATAGATATATTTTGGCTATTGTACTTTATGTTGTTGTAAATTATTAACTTACACACAGTGAGTAGCGCATTGCTGAATAATAAGGATGTTTACACAGTCCCGCTAGCATCTACCCAATGAGTCAGTAAGAGACAAGGGACTTTCTCCTGTACTGTCAAAAGTAAACAAATTTGGCTTATCTACAGCCAGTGTCCGTGCCGGCACGTCTCCTGCCCGCCGCGCCGCCACACACAACGAGGAGTGAAAGTGGTGGACTGAGACGTGAGGCTGTCGTTGGGAGCTGCTGGCAGGGAGGCTCCTCATCTATACTGCATGTAAATCTCGCAAGTGCTGCAGACCAATGTGGGTACAGACACTCACTCACTCATTAAACCTTGAAGGATGTTTCCAGTTAAATATTCCTGACGAAGGTTCATGCTACAGGAGGTGGTGTGTCGGCACTCAACCTGTGGCCTCAGCTTCCTGGTGGTGGTGGAGGTAGTAATGGTGATTGTAGTAGTAATGATGATTGTAGTAGTAGTAGTAGTAGTAGTAGTAGTAGTAGTAGTAGTAGTAGTGGTCGTCAAGTTGCTGCTCCAAGATTAACGACGGTGACACAAACTTCACTCTGGTTTGCTCGTTTTTATTTTAAGAGAAGAAAAAAAAAACTCATTCCATTTTTCAAGGTAAGGGCGTCCACTGGGCGTCCACTGGCAACGAAAAGCCTCCGTTAAATACTCAGGAGTCATTCAATGTTCTGGTTAATGCGAAGACGACCTCACATAAAACACTGATAGATACAGTGGTGTATAGTACCTGCTCTCACTAATTAGAGAGCGGCAGGCCAAGCGTCATGCTCCCTCACCTGTGGCTGTGGTCAGGACTCTAATATGTGTGTGTGTGTGTGTGTGTGTGTGTGTGTGTGTGTGTGTGTGTGTGTGTGATCCTTGTTGACTACTAATATCACGGCATCATCAATATGTTCTTTATATAACGTTTTATTAGAATTTATTTCATTTCCTATTTCTTAAGTCTACTATAGTTGGTGTTGACGAGGAGATGACAAGCAAGGCCGTGTTTAAGTTCCTCATTAGCAACACAGAGGAGGCCGGTGCTATACTGACACCACACAAGACGGTACTGCTTAAATGTTGCTCAACACCTTAGCATAGTAAAGAGTTACAGATAAGATACAGTAAGGTAACTAATCCTCTGTCCAGTATATGTTACACCAGGGATTATTATTATTATTATTAGTTGTAGTAGTTATCATCATTATTATGGGTCACAGAGGTCTACAGCAACAACAGGAAGTGGTCAAGGTTTTCTCAGTGAACTCAGAGGTGTGTGGTGGAGACAACTGTGTGAGGATGGTGACACGGCAGTGTGTGTGTGTGTGTGTGTGTGTGTGTGTGTGTGTGTGCTTTGGTTAGGTCTGTCCATACTTACTTTTAATGCTGTTTCTCACCGACTATTGTTATACATGGTTAACCTTCAGTAAATCTGCAGGTGTTGGGCATCACACTTTAGCTGTCACAAGGCACGTTAAGTCTCTGGACAGCCATCAACACCTTTTACAGTGTGGTGACCAGGGGAAGGGAGGTAGGTGTGTGGTGACCAGGGGAAGGGAGGTAGGTGTGTGGTGATAATACCAGGTGCCGGGAGACGAGGCACCAGCACCCCGCCAAGTGTGTTTTGCGGTGTAGTGGTGAGCCAAATCTATTTCAGCGTCGACTGTCCATTTATATTCTAAGTCACCGTTTTTGTCTCGACTTAACACACACCTACACATGTAAACACTTCACTCGTCCCCATGCCCGCTTGTACTACCACGCCCACACTTCACATACTCACACACGTTCACCTATACCACAAAAGAAACACACACACACACACACACACACACATACACACACACACACTCACTCGTAAAACTCACCTGGTTCACAAATATTCACATAAAAAATGAGGATGACAGACCAACACTCTCCTCCTCAGTGACCCCTAACATACACTACCAATAAAACCATTTCAACTGTCATATATAAACATAACAATTTCATGGATAACAAGATAGAAATATAAGATGTATCTAAATTAGCAAACTCTACTACAACACGGAACTATCACTTGTAGTTATGTAACCCTACTCTCTATAACACGTATCTAGTATTTTGTTACCCTTCATAGACAGTCATCTGGTTCATAGATATTCCTTTAAAAGTGTGGGAGATATGCTTATCTTGTCACTCAGTGTGTGTGTGTGATAAGTAACGACGCCTGTTCCCTAAGTCGAGTCATTGAAGTCTCGGACTGTAGCGTTTGGGAGACAGTCAACACCTATAGTTTCTGGTCATAAAACAAACAATTGCTTAAAATTCTTGTGTGTGTGTGTGTGTGTGTGTGTGTGTGTGCTAGCAGCAAGCCAAGCATTAAGGGGCAACTTTTTGCTGGGAGAGTCTCATCTTGAGATCTACCTAAAAGGTCACTAGTAATGACCCGTCACCACCACCACCACCTGTGCTGGCCAGGTCGAGTACACCCTGATTGGCAGAGTGACCACGTGTACCTGATTGGCAATCATCACCTGAGGCGGATTCTACCCCTCCCCCTCCCTGGTGCAAGACGTTACGAGTAATTTTAATATATGCCACGCGCAATGTGGAAAGTTAGATTAGATTAGGTTAGGTTATGTTTTGACAGATGGTGACAGAGGTTCGAATGCCTGTGCTACATATTATGATATTTATACATATATAAGCCTAACCTAACAAACACATAATATTTCCATTATTTAAACTGAGGTTGTGAAAAATACCCTCCACGACAGTGTAAAAACATGGTGTTGATCAATGTCACTTCGGACCGTGATGGATGGTACGTTATCTGTCAATCTCAGCCGTATCTCAGAGATTCTTGAGACCTTCTCATACCGTTGTAGGTTGGGGGTAAACGTGGGTATTTTCTGGTACACTGAGTCTTGCTTCATTAAACGTGTTGGTTATTCTTCTGCCGCTTTAAAGAAAGATGACAAAGAACAGGAGCAGTGAAGTGAGAGAGCAGAGGGTGTTGGCAGCAGCTGAGCCTCGCACCTACACCCACAGAAATCTAAATGATCATCCACATCTTTTGTCTCCGTCCAGTACAGTGGAGACAGAGGACAGGCGTCAAGAAGGAGTCCTCACCTCTCGTCCTCCACCCGTCGCGTGGAGGACGGAATCCACCACCATTGTCACACCTCTAGGGTGAACGCTCTTTCTTCTCGCCCTGGGATGAATTAGCATGTCTACACACCAAGTTTTAAGGAATGCGCCGCTGCTCGCACGACACATTTGTTTTGTAAGGTGTGGTGGAGGAGGGTGACAGCACAGAGACAAAAACCCTGTTTACATCGCATCCGTGGTGGCTGTGAGCGATAAACACTGCTCGAGGTAATATGTTAGCAGTACACTCTGGTGCAGGCACACCAGTAGAATTGTCTCCCCGAGACCCGTGTCGCAACGTTAGGCTGGACACGGGCCAGGACATACGTAAACAATGGCCCATGTCACAACACCTGGTGCAGAGAATTATTAACCTTATCTCATCGTTTTGTCTTAATGTACATAGAGAACACACTAACTGACTTAGTGCCACAAGCGGCAGGAACTGGTGTGGCGCGTCAACCCCAGCCAGAGAAAACACAGACTCCTGAAGGTGTGATGTCAGTTAGGTGGAGGATGACGACTCTTAACAGTATTGACTCTTCACTCACATGTGACTACAGCAGTTTTATCATGGGTGTAGGAGAGCGTGATGTAAGTGAGCCGGGCTGCTGAGTGACGTCCGTGTTAGCTCACTTCTCCATAAACAAGTGGAGGCCAGGGTGGGTTGTCACACACTACCTGCAGGTGACGGGGCGCCCCACCAGGCTCATGACACTGCCAGACAGCATACTCCTAGCACATAAAGTGCTGTTGTAACCTCATCCTGATGCTACCCCACACACAGCAAGGCAGGGGCATCACGTTCTAAGGTGCGAACCGAAACACTGACCATTCCGTGGAGGGTGTGGGGCCAGGGTGATGATATATTCTCCTGCCATAAACCCGTAGAAGAATCAAGACATACAGTGTGGCACAACAACCAGCAACCAACACGTAGCAAATAAGTATACTGGTGCTATCTTCAGTACGCACGACGAGTATGTATCTCTGGTCACGATGGAGGCAGAACACAAGAGGGAGGCAGGAGTGAGAGTCCTTGGAGCGACGGAGACGACGGTCGACAAACTGCGGCAAGCAACGTGACACTCTGCATAACAAGGTGAGTTGATTATGGGTATGCTTAGTGGTGTAGGGATGGCCACCAATGAGACTGAGTAGAGGAAAATGTTGTCTGTCGTCTTGTAAACTAATCCAGCCACAATTCAAGGTTTTTCGTCGAATGATAATTATCTACCAAACAGATGCACTCAATTCGTCTCCAGATTGTCCAGGCAGGGAGGCAGGAAGGGGTAGGAGAGGAATCTAATCAATCTTATTCAGTTCAATTTACCTGTGAACGACTGCCAGGAAAATTGTAACTTCTATTAATTACACTCAGAACACCCGTCAATGTGATAAAAATAATAATCAGAGAGCCAGTTGAGGTGCGACCCATACCAGTCACCCTCGGCCTGTGTGTGAAGTGACACTACCAACATTCTTCATTATCAAGGCTACAGAAAATTAAGTTAATTTTTTTCGTCCGCTTAAGTCCAGTCTGGGCCCCAAATTTCTGCCTGTGCTTGAATACCGTACAGACTTGCTTTCCCAGTTCATAGACAACAAATATTCACGCGCTAGGACAGTTGATATCACTACACTACATGATACCACTCACTGACTGTATTGTATGTATGAATGTAAATGCCGTAGTAATTGTTATTGTTCTTTCCATTACTTCCCGTCTCATTTGTCTGTCTCCCTTCCTACCTGTCTATCTCTCTAACAGGTGAGGAAGTCTAGGGGAAAACATCGCCTGGTTGTTTACACTGAGAACCAAAACCTTACGACGTGCCAGCCTCCTTCCATGACCTGCCAGCCTCCTTCTACGACCTGCCAGCCTCCTTATACGACCTGCCAGCCTCCTTCTACGACCTGCCAGCCTCCTTCTACGACCTGCCAGCCTCCTTCTACGACCTGCCAGCCTCCTTCTACGACCTGCCAGCCTACGACCTGCCAGCCTCCTTGTACGACCTATTTACAGGACAGTCAACACTCCTCGTGACAGATGGTCTAAGAACGTCACTAACTGACTTATGATAAAACACAAAAACAACTTCAACAATATTATAAACAAAATAATTTAGAAACTCAACTCAACGATAGATACGTTTATTTAGCACCAGTAAGGAGGCAGAACTGGTGTGCACGGAGCCCTCTGACAATCACAACATCTGCAGGAAGTGTAATCATGACTGAGGTACTGTTTACACTCAGAAAGATTGGACTGGCAGAACTTGAGCCCCTATACTGTGTCTAGGTGTGCCCAGCCTACCCCAGGTCCGATGCAACACACTCACTGGATACCTCTACACTATTTTAGTTGCTGGCAGCTTCCCACCCGAGGTAATTAGATGAGGCTGACTACTACCTGATTTATATTGTCGAGGACCAGGCCTTAGTCACACGCAATTTATTACAGAACTTTAAAGAGATTATAAAGTACCACGCATTCTTAGACGAGGCCGACGAGGTGCAGATGTGATGCTGTACGTGCTGTAGCTGTTCTTAAACACGTGTTATTTCACTCTCTGGTAAGCATACATTAAGTAAACATCATGGTCTTGGTGTTAACTTCGTGGGAATTGTAACATAAATACGTGGTCACTAAGGTACATAATGAGCTATGGTATTTTGAATGAGTTGGGTTATAAGCTAATTGAAACGACCATAGAGCCAAGGGCAGCCTGGTACTATAACATCCCCTTAGGGTGGGTGGCAGTGGGCCGGAGGGGGGGTGGTATTACGTGCTCTGGTCACCTGGTCACGTATGGTAGGAGAGGCGAGTGTCTCATATATACACATACACTTGGGGTCAGGTGTCATAACTCCCCCGCCGTCAGTACATGAAATATTGCGACAATTTTTTTTAAACCTGTAGTGTAAAAAAAAAATAAGCAACAAATATCTATGTCAGTAAGAGCAATGCAAATCGTCTGGCGTTCTCTCCCCCTCCCTTAATAATGATACGTTTATAAAGCCAAGCCAAGCCAAGCCAAGCCAAGCCTAGCCTAGCCTAGCCTAACCACCCATCGTCCAAGTCATCGATGCTTCGTGAGTGTCTGGTGTATTCACTCTTGTAGTAAATGACACTGATAGCTTGTGTTCACCCTCCTCTCCACCATATTATTACAGGGTAGATATGAGACGTGTGTGTGTGTGTGTTGTGTTGTGTTACTAGATATTCAACAAGTGTTAATGATGGTGTTTACTATTATTATTATTATTATTATTACTATTATTATTAAGAGCATAGATGTCACGTGTCACATAAGTTATGAGTCCAAGTCAGAAGTTGCACAAGTAGCATGTCACATAGATAGGATGCAAAGGTAGGGGGTAGGTGGGGGGTTCAGCCAGGAATCACCCCCCCTCTATATACATACCACGAGTAGGTGAGGTTAGAGGGAGTGAGGGGAGGTGAGGGAGGGAGAGGGGTGAGGGAGGGAGAGGGGTGAGGAGTGTCTTGACTTAACAGGATCACAAGGGGAGTTTAAATGAGTTATTTATGCCTCCCTCCCTCCTTCCATCCTTCCTTCCTCCTCCCTCCCTCCCTCCTTCCATCCTTCCTTCCTCCTCCTCCTCCCTCCCTCCCTCCATCCTTCCTCCTCCCTCCTCCTTCCATCCTTCCTTCCTCACTACCTTCTTCTCTTTCCTCTCACCTAGTCCCCATCCTCCCTTCCCACCCAGTTAGCCCGTTTCTCTTTTCCTCTCCTCTTACTGTGTCTCTTTCATCTCCTCTTTCAACCCATCCCATCTAGCCTGCCCCTCCCTCTTGTCCTCCTTCCCTCCCACATCTCTAACTTTTCCCTCAATCTCTCTCTCACTCATCTTTCCTTTCCTTTATCTTCCTTCCCTATCATCCCTTTCTCAGCATTTAGCCCCTCCCAGCTACCATCTCTCTCTCCCGGTACCATATACGGTATACCAGCAACCTAATATCAGGAAGCGCTCTACTTTCTATCATTTTTTCCCTAATTCATTCTGGTGTTCGAGTTTTTGGAGAGGGTCATTTGTTGACGTTTCTTTGGGACTGGTGGTGAGGCAGGGTGGGCGGTAGGTGGGGGCTGGGTGGGCGGGGGTGGGTGTGTTGGAGGCTGGGTGGGTGGGGGTGGGTGTGTTGGAGGCTTGGGGGTGTGTTGGGGGTTGATTGGCACCCACCTGGGATATCAGACACACACACACACACACACTATCTCACCCCACACCTTACAATTATAAAAACAAGACTCATTTGGGAAATTATTTACTATAGACTTAAGTTACAAAATCACACTTTAGAAAAATCAAGCCGATATCTTATAATTACCAATAAGGATAAAATTTAACAGCTCATTACATCACCACCACAGCTCATCAAAGACCTCTACACCTCGTTATAAATCACCATAGGCTGACATAACTCACCAGCACCATCACTGAACACCAACAGACAATTACACAGCCCGTCAAAACAGTGTGTCACGTCAAAACAGTGTGTCACAGCCTACCAAAGCCTATCTATTACCTGACGTTACAGACCATTAAAGCCCGTCACAGCTTCCCACGCACCACCATAACTCACCAGCGACTAACACACTCAGTCACAGTCACATATCACCAAAAAAGGTATCACAATTCTTCACAGTCTGTCACATCCCGTCAAAACTTATCACAGACAAACACAGCTCAACACATCCCTCACCCATTGCAAGAAATAACAAGCTCTGGGTGGTAGAACTTGGGGCCTATAGTCCTAACATCAGTCTAGCATCAGTCAGACCCACGATGATGATAATAATAAAAAATAATAGTAATAATAGCAACAATAAAAATAATAATAATAATAATAATAATAATAATAATAATAATAATAATAATAATAATAACAATAATAATAATAATAATAATAATAATAATAATAATAAAAATAATAATAATAACAATAATAATAATAGTAATATCAATAATAATAATACTAAAAATAATAAATAATAATAAAAACAATAATATATAATAATATACACTGAAATGCGTCTCTAGTTAGGGGGGAAAATTTAATGTGTAAACCTCTGATATAATCTGAGCCTAGAGTCATGGTATTTCCGCTAACATGGTAGATAAAGGCAGAGGGGACCCAGGCAGTAAACGCTGTCTCTCTCCCTCTCTCTCATCTCACTCTATCTCTCCATTTTCTCTGTATTTCTCACTATAGCTTTCCCTTCACTCTCTCTCTCTCCTTTGTGTGTCTCCTCTCCCTCCCTTTATCTCTTTTTTCACAGTACACACACACACACACACACGTTTCCTAGAGGCCGTAAATCAACAAGGCTTAAGAAATAGTGGATAAGAAAGTCATAAATTACTGAAGACTGTAAAATATGGGGTACGTGGAAGGGGGGAAACACCGCCTTCTACCCTTCTCTTCTACCTGTGTATAACGTCAAATGTCACGCATTCCTCAGTAGGGAAACAATATACAGTTGAGGTCTTATGTGTGTGTGGTGGGAGGGAGGTACTGGAGCACTGCGGGCTGCTCCTCTTGACCAAGTGATGAAATGTGATTGTGATGGTTATATTCCGTGTGTGTGTGTGTGTGTGTGTGTGTGTGTGTGTGTGTGAGAGCCAGAGTTGGGCCATCACACTATAACGCTTCTCTCTCCTGACGTAGTTTGAACACACCACATCGTCAAGGATAACTACGTTCATTTAGCAAGTTTCTCTTAGTTGTAATCTTAGTTGTTATGGAGAAGGTGTGGATGTTATAGAGTGTAAGGTTAGTGACAGACAAACACAGGTACAGATGATATCAACCAACAAATATATCAAGGTACTACATACAGGAAGACACCAGGAGAAATTATAGTTTCATATATAACAAGTTTAGTCATTCCTCAATCTAACCTAACCAACCTTCAACTGATTGCCTCTCATTAAACATCAATACACCCGCCAGTTGTGTACAATCCTGTTCCATTAAATCCTAATACGATAAATTTGGGTTAAATTTGGCAAAGGTTTATTCTACTGCCACAAAATTACTAAATCTACATTTTCAGACAATCTTTGAGTAGCACCGGC